GCTGTGACTCTGGCCTTTTTCTCCTCAGTGATGAGGATTCCCTTGCTGCAACCCCCCTCTCTGGCCCATCCACGGAGCACAGACCTGTCCTTGCTGGCTGACATTTCCCTGCTTCCTGAGGCCGGATGTGCACCCTAGGGGTGCTCAGATAGTGTCCCTGGATTGATTTTGGGGCCCTCATGCCTCAAAGGAGATGTCATTCCCTGCAGAGCTTCATTCACCTGCTCTGAGCACTCCTCATCCTGCCCAGGGACATTCTCTCTGGTTTGGCTGGAATGAATGGCCCCACCATGCCAACTCTGGGATTCAGGCAAATCAGAGCTGTTAGGCCCAGGCTGTGTTGTCTGGCTGGCCCAGGTGTTTGTACTGAAACACACCTGTGCCTCCGCTATCGGGTGCAGAGATGCTGTCTCTATCCATAAGAAGACCCTGTGGGCACCCCAAGATACAGCAGCACAAGGGGCACGATTGCTGGCCTAGCAGGAACTTGGGGACCCTACACTCGAGCTATGGTTAGTGTTTACAATGACTGGTTAGTTGCCGAGTGAACAAGGACAGGGCCGTGGGCAGACATGCTGTGGCCTCTCAGTGCTGGGTGTGTGAGTGGCCAGAGACAGTATCTGAGCTGCCCCAGGTGTCTTCACACCCAGACGTGGGCCTGCCAGACTCTGATGGCCCCAAGAGTCACAACCAGATCCCTGAGGGCCATCCCAACATGCTGGGAATGACCATTGGTGACAAGCAGGCACTGGGCCACCGGGGAAGGGCCATCACCTCCAATGTCCCACTATCTGGCTCCTCCTCTTTCCTCAGAGACCCCAATCTACCCATGGGGCACAGTCCTCACACAAAGGCTGATCCAGGAAAAACAGGACCGCGTTGCCAGGTGGCCTGTCCTTTTTCTCCCCACAATCTGCTCTGATTACAGAAACAACGGGCTCATGGCCAGAGACGCCAAGCAACAGAGAAAGAGAATAAAGTGGAAAATCAGAATCTTTCCTGATCCTACCCCTACACGGGGCTGTGTTTCAAATAACTAAGCTCCTTGATTTTGTCTGTGGGGAGGCCTGAGTTCCCATACTTGGGGCTATTTGTTTTCTCTTTATTTTTTTTTTTTTTTGAGACAGAGTGCCACTTTGTCACCCAGGCTGGAGTGCAGTGGCATGATATTGGCTCACTGCAACCTTTGCCTCCTGGGTTCAAGTGATTCTTGTGCCTCAACTGGGCACCACCCTGAGCACCACCACACCCCGCTGATTTCTGTATTTTTAGTAGAGGCTGGGGTTTCACCATGTTGGCCAGGCTGGTCTCAAACTCCTGGCCTCAGGTGATCTGCCCACCTTGGCCTCCCAAAGTGCTGGGATTACAGGCGTGAGTCACCGCGCCTGGCCTTGTCTGTTTTCTCTTAACGAGTGCTTGATGTCAACAGTAGAAGAAGTCCTGGCCTGAGCCTCTAAGTCAAAGCATCTGGGCATAGCTGGGGACAGTCAACATGGACCTGGGTATCATGGTCCTGATGTTAGACTGTGGTCCTGGTTGGCACCGGTGGGTCATCACGATCTCCCCTGCAGCTGGTTTATGGAAGGTCTGAACTGGATATGAGGAGGAAAGAGCTTCATTTTTCTCCAGCTGCTGCCTTCCAGCAGCTTCCGTGAGGCAGGGCTGGGTTCGGGAGAGCAAGTGAGGCCAAGTCATGCAAATGCATGGGTGGATTGTGTCTTAGTTGAAATGTTGATAACTTTTTCCATTAGGGTTTTTTTTTTTGCATTAAATTTGATTTTTTAAAAAAAATTCTGCATTAAAATATTGTTTATTTTGATCGGTTAATTTTTTGGCACCCCCTTAAATTTTTTGCCTCACTTGCTGCACCTGATAATCCAGAGATGAGTGCCTCCGTCCCCCGCCTCGCCTTAGTCCCCATCCTGGTGACAGGTCTCTGGTCTCTGCTTCTTAATGACATCTGGGGAAGTTTCCCCAGGATTTTGATCACTTTGATTTATAATAACAGACTTGTTAACAATGAATGGAATATGGCCGGGTGTGGTGGCTCACGCCTGTAATTCCAGCACTTTGGGAGGCCAAGGTGGGCAGATCACATGAGGTCAGGAGTTCAAGACCAGCCTGACCAACATGGTGAAACCCCGTCTCTAATGAAAATACAAAAATGAGCTGGGCATGGTGACAAGCGCCTATAACCTAGCTACTCAGGAGGCTGAGGCAGGAGAATTACCTGAACCTGAAAGGTGGAGGTTGCAGTGAGCTGAGATTGTGCCATTGTACTCCAGCCTGGGCCACAGACCAAGACTCTGTCTCAAAAAAAACAAAAACAAAAATAAATGGAATAACTGATGTTTAGGTGTTACAAAATCCAGGCCAGACAAATCTAAACTTTAATCTCACACCCAGTTCCTAGATGAGTCTCTTCTCCAGCTCCAGTTCAGCCTAAGCCTTGGGGGTCCTTAGCTGGGCGGGCACCACCTGTTCCCTTCCCCACCTTTGTTCCTGTTTTTTTTTTTTCCTCTGCTGGCTCCTCTGGGGTTGGCTGCGTTCAGAGGTAGGGACAGGCTAAAGGTCTCTGGCTTTTTGGTTCTGTTGATGGGTGAGCTCCCAATACTAGCTTTCTCTTGTAGGATATTTCATTTATTTATTTGTTAAAAATATTTACTTAGAACACATCATTCACATGCCAGCCACTGTTCTAGGCACTGGGGATAGGGTGATAAATGAGATAAACAAAAATACCTGCTCATGTAAAGCTCCTATTCTAGGGAAGACAAAAAAGAGAAAATACATGTGTACTTAGTACATTAGAAGGTTCCAAGTACTGTAAAGAAAAATAAAGCAGGCCAGACTCAGTGACTCACATCTGTAATCCCAGCACTTTGAGAGTTCGAGACCAGCCTGGTTTGGTCACGACAAAACCAGGTCTCTACAAAAAAAAATTAGTTGGGTGTGGGGGCATGCACCTGTGGTCCCAGCCACTGGGGAGGCTTAGGTGGGAGGATTGCTTGAGCCTGGGAGGCGGAGATGGCAGTAAGCCAAGATTGTACCATTGCACTCCAGCCTGGGTGACAGCCAGACAGACCCTGTCTGGAAAAAAAAAAAAAAAAAAGCAGAGATGGGGGTAAGTGGGGAAGTGGGGCTGGGGATGCAAGCGTCCCTGAGCTCCCATGGTTCTTCTCTGCCCCTCTCCTGTCTCATGGGGCACAGGTCCCCTGGGGCTTGTGGTTGTTTTACGCCAATCTAATATCCTTTTCTTCCCAACAGTTGGAGGCCAACTGAGGCTTCTTTGTCCTCCACGGGGAACAGCACTGGCCTAATCCTGCGGACAACCATTGCAAAGGGCAGTCAGCTCCAGTAAACCTGCTGATGAAGAATGATCCCAGAGTGGGGACACAGAGGCTGACATTTCTTGCTGTAGGTGATTTAATGATGGGCCTCAATATTTCACTCCTCTTGTAAGAGTATGACACATCCACATCCTTGCCAGGGCCTGAGGGAGGCTGGAGAGACTTATCCATCCCATAGGTGCTGCTTGTGCCTGGGTGATTTTAATAGACACTGCACAAGCAGAAGCCTGAAATGTGTTGGCACTGCCAGGCCTGCCCTCTAATGCTCTTGATTTTTCCCATGAGATGAGTGTGCCCCAGGGAACGTCGGCTCCAACTGCAGGTTGAGAGGCATGTGGAGCACGCATGGTTCCAACCCTCAGCCTGGAGTCAAGTCCAGACTAGATCAGCCTCAGCCCAGCCAAGCCCCGGGTGCAGGAGTGAAAAGCAAATGCTAACGGCCCATGACACTGACTTTCAAAGGGGAGTGTCCTGTCACGGGCTTCCTCCCAGCAACAATGAAGGTGTTTCTCTATCAGTCAGTCGGTAAATAATTACCCACAAATAATGTGCTAGGAAGGTGGAGCGATTTGAGTCGATTTGGTCCCTATACTCGTGGAGCTTGCTTTCTAGAGGGGAAGACAGATGATGGATGAATAAATATAAATGATTCTATTAGGTTGGTGCAGCAGTAATCCTGGTTTTTGCCGTTAAAAGTAATGGCAATAAAAAGCGGGTAGGAGCTGGTGCTGCAGTTCATTAAAAGTAACAGCAAAAACTGCGGTAACTTCCGCACCAACCTAATAGAATAATTACGAGCGTGCAAAACGTTGCAATGGGCAAGTTCCAAGTGCTGGGATGGCATCTAGCTTCCTGGAGTCAGGAGACAGGGTTTGGCAACCTAGCCAAGGTTAAGTCCAAGTGATGGGGGCGGGCAGGGAGCGATATTTCAGTGGAGACTCCAAGGATGACTGGTAATTAGAAAAGTAAACCCAGATGTGAAAGGGGGAAGCATTTCAGGCAAAGAGAAGAGTGTGTGCAAAGGCCTATGGGAGGAGGACATTGTGTATCTATCAACCTTCGGGGCAACCAGCAGGCTGGAGCTGAGCACGTTGAGAGGAGGACGGGAGCCGGGGAAAGGCAACCCAGGCAGAGGCATAGCAGGGACAAAAGCCTGGAGTCAGGCCTGAACCTGTGTGGTTTGAGGAACCGACAGAGGCCTGTCCGACAGGAAAGTAACAGCAGAGGGGAGACCATTAGGCCAGGGCAGAGGGCAGGGCCATGCTGGGCACTGTGGGCTGTGGATGGGAGCTGGCATTTATGCTCCGGTGAGGGGGACATGTTAGAAGCTTTTAAGGAGGGCAGTAACATTTGGGGATAATATGTATTCCGGGAATGCCAACAAAGTGAATTCATAGTTTGGATGTTCCTAAGACTTCTGCACAGGCACAGAGAAATAAGATCATTTCTACAGCTGTGAGATAAGATTATATTAAAAATATTGCTAAGTTTTTAAAGGTCATTTCGAATGGTGGATTTCTATCTTACATTAGGACATAGGTAGGTTGCAAGGTTGACAGCAAGTAGAAAAGTTTCCTGACTCGTGTGAACATAAAAGAAACATCGATTTGAAAGCAAAACATTTATTCATTTACTTCCTCTGCAGTTTTCTTGACTGCTGAATTTCATGAGAAGGGATTGGTAATGAGGTGCTGTCTTTCAAGTATGAGAGTTGTTGAGCTGGAGGTGCAAGGAAGTGCTGCTGTTCTAGGGGGAGGGTTGTCGAGCTGGAGACCCAGGGAGGTGCAGTGTTGTTCTAGTTCGAGGGTCATGGAGCTGGAAACCCAGGGAGGAGTGGTGGTGTTTTTGTTTGAGAGTCGTGGAGCTGGAGACCCACAGAGGAGCTGCGGTTGTTATTGTTTAAGTCTGAGGATGGTGGAGCTGGAGCCCTGGGGAGGAGCTGGTGCTGCTGTTCTTGTTTGAGGGTCTTGGGTTGAAGCTGGAGACCCAGGGAGGAGCCAGTGTTGTTTTTGTTTAGGTCTGAGGGTCGTGGAGCTTGAGACTCTGGGAGGAACTGGTGCCGTTGTTCTAGTTTGAAGGTCATAGAACTGGAGACCCAGACAGGAGCTGGTGCTACTGGTATTCAGATCTGAGGGTGGTGGAGCTGGAGACCCAGGGAGGAGCCGGTGCTGCTGTTCTTCTTTGAGGGTGGTGGAGCTGGAGACCCAAGGTGCAGCTGCTGCTGCTGTTCTAGTGTGAGGGTCTTGGAGCTGGAGCCTTGGTGAGGAGCCGATGCTGCCTTTCAAGTCTGAGAGTCATTGAGCTGGAGATCCAGGGAGGAGCCGGTGCTATCACCATGCAATTCTGAGGGTCATGGAGATGATGGCCTCAGGGAGGAGCACAGTTGAAGTTTGAAGGTTGTGAGCTGGAGATCCAGGGAGGAGCTGGTGCTGCTGTTGTAGTTTTAGGGTTGGGGAGCTGGAGGCTTCGGGAGGAGCCAGTGCTGCCTCTCAAGTCTGAGAGTTGTTGAGCTGGAGACCCAGGGAGGAGCCGGTGCTGCTGCTGTAATTTGAGGATCATGAATCTGGAGACCTGGGGAGGAGCTAGTGTTGCTGTTGATGTTTGAGGGTCAGGAAGCTGGAGACCCGGGGAGGAGCCGGTGCTGCTGTTGTAGTTTGAGGATTGTGGAGCTGGAGACCCGGGGAGGAGCTGGTGCTGCAGCTGTAGTTTGAGGTTTGTGGAGCTGTAGACCCGGGGAGGAGCTGGCACTGTAGTTGATGTTTGAGGGTCGAGGAGCTGGAATCTGGGGAGGAGCCGGTGCTGCTGTTTAAGTCTGAGGGTTGTGGAGCTAAAACATGGAGCCAGAGCTGGGGAAGTAGAGAGAGTCACAGGATGTAGTTGTACCCCAAGCAAGTGAAGCTTGGGAATGTCTCAGTTCTGGTGATTAATGCACTCTTTTTCCTCTTACACAGTTTGTATTTGTTTTCTGTCCCACAAGACAGAAAGACCCTGATTAATACCCTTAGGAATTAAAAAGCTTAAAAAAAAAAACCTCAGTGATGTTGGTTATAGCAATAATAGGAATGAAACCATGATTATCCTGACTGACACATACAAAATCACACACACACACACACACACACACACACACACACACACACTACTTATCTTTTCAATCAGTTAGTAAAATAAAAAATAAATGGAAAAATAGGCCCAAGTAAAGCTGTAAAACGTTGTTTCATGGAGAAGTGATGGAGGACAGAGATTAATCTGAGAGTTGTATTGATGGAGAAACTGAGAACTTACCATTTCCCGTGAGGTTTCGGTGTGGAATGATACTCTGTGCGTTCTGGCAGCTGAGTCCGTTCACACAGCCTGGTGATGCAGTAGGTGTTACAGAAGGGCCTCTCCCAGCTGGTCCTGCCTCTCTGCTGTGATGAGTGCTGCCTCTGATCCCCGACCACTGACTGTCTTGAGAGGAGACCAGGCCTATGAGCACAAGGGTGTCCATGGTGAGGTTCCATGGATGGAGCACAGGGACGCTCCTGATGTGCCTTCCTATGCTCATCCGCCATCTTGCAATTAATGCATCTTGTTTATAACTGTCTTCTAAAGACTGGGTAGAAAAAAGCATTTGTACCATATGGGTCAGGGATAAAGAATAAGCATAGGACCTCTACCAAGTTTAGGGAATAAAAACAAAGAGACAGAACTTTGGATGCTTCCCTGGAGGCCCCTCCTGAGTCCCAGTCCCTTCCCTTCTACAGAGGGAGTCACTTTCTGTTTAGCCTTTCTTATTCCTGTACTTTTCTTTATAGTTTATTTCTTTCACCATCTACATGTTTATCCCTAAACAATATGCCATTTAGTTTTTGAAGTTTCTGTGTCTTTTTGAGACAGGGTCTTGCTCTGCTGCTGCGGCCATAGTTTTGAACTCCGATGTGGAGAAATTCTCCTGTGTGGCTGCTCCTAGGCTGCACTGGGTCTGAGCATCTGCTCCATGTCTATTCTTGTCCTCCATTCTCTTCCCGAGACCCATCCACATTGACGTTATTCATTTTCACTGCTGCGTAATCTCCCATGGTATGAGGGGGACATGGAAGTGTCTTCATTTTCCTGTTGATGATGTTTGTCCAGGTTGGGGTCCTTAGGACTGTGTTGCTAGAATATTCTAGGGCATTTTTTTGTACACAAGTGCCAGTTTCTTTTGGTGAGTAGCTTTCACTTTTTAAAATTTCATCCCAGGTAAGAAATGTGATTTTCCTCATAACAACACACACCATTTCATATGCAAGTATAACAAAAAAAATTTGTTATCAGTGATAAAAAATTTTTATTAGTGGCTGAGTGTTCTTGTTGCTCTCCACTCTCCCCAACACTTGCATTTATTGGGCTGTGGGATTTTTGCCAGTCTGGTGGGTGTCACGTGATACTTCATCCTGTTAGGCTGAGGCCCTCTTCATGTTTTTATTGGTCTTTTCTTCACATTTCCTCTTCTGTGAAGGGCTGGTTCAACTCTTTTGCCCAGATTCTGTTTAGTTGTCTGAATTTTTGCCTTATTATTATTATTTGAGATGGAGTTGCCCTCTGTCACCCAGGCTGGAGTACAGTGGTACGATCTTGGCTCACTGCCACCTCCATCTTCCGGGTTCAAGCGATTCTCCTGCCTTAGCTTCCAGAGTTGCTGGGATTAAAGGCATGTGCCACCATGTCCAGCTATTTTTTGTATGTTTAGTAGAGACGGGATTTCACCATGTTGACCAGGCTGCCTTGACCTCAGGTGACCTGCCTGCCTTGGCTTCCCAAAGTGCTTGGATTACAGATATGAGCCACCACCGTGCCTGGCCTGCCTTTTTCTTTTTCAAGAGGACTCTTTATAGATGATGCCCATTCATTTTAGTGACTATCTGTGTGGCAAAGATGGGTTTGAATCCACTAGAATGAACCTTCAGGATCTCCTCTGCGTGGTGGGAGAAGAGACAGAGAGGGGTAGATGGGCATGGAGAATCAGAGGCGAGAGGAGGCCGAGTCAGGCGGGGGTCGCAGGCAGCCGTGAGGACTTGGCTCCTCCTCTGAGCCAGGTGGGATTAGCAGGGGATTTTAATCAGAGCAGCCATGGGGTCTCCCTCGTGTATTTCTGCTATGGTTGGCTCAGCTGAACTCACCTCTTCAACAAGACTTGGCCTTGTCCATCCAGAGGCCCGTGGCGGAGGGCTTAACTCCTGGCATGGCCACTGACACATCCACGTTTGGCGCACACATGGCTGGGCAGCCCCAAGACCGGCTCTGCCTGGGCCTCTCGTTGGCAGCATTTCTGGCGTTTGTCCCTTCCCAAGTCTGGCCTATTTATGAGCCTCAGTACACCTCGGCATGAAGAAGGAGGTTTGGCAAATGACTCATAAAGCATCATTTTTAAAAGTTAATGGTCACTGTTGGGGGAAGAAAGGGCCACTGGGCATGGATGCTCTCTTTGCTGATGTGGTGTTTTCAATTAAGTGAAAAGAAAGACTCATACCTCTTTGCACGTACCTGGTCTGATTACGAAGTAGCCAAGGAGGCCTCGGGGTGTCTTGGAAGCTGGAACCATCAGCCCTGTGTGAACTATAGGCGCTTTTCTATGAGCTGTTCCTGGGTGAGGGGGAGTGGGTCAGGCGATCCCAAGCTCTGCTTCTTGCTCAGCGTGAGTGAGCTGTGTGTGTGAAGGTGGTTGTGGAGGAATCCCACGGTCTGGCCAGTCACCTTCAGGAGGGCAGGGATGATGCTGTTCTCACATTCATCATCCACAGTGCCTGGCACTTGCTCCAGGCCATGGCAGCTATACAGGGTCCAACTGATCTTAGATAATGTGGCCCTACTCAGTGGCCCTGGGGCTAGGAGGGAAACCGGCTTGGGAACTTTCCTGGGTCCTGCCTCACCCAACTTATATGGCGTTTCCAGGAGCGAGGGCTACAGTGGTGTCTGTGTGTCAGTTCAGGATGAGGAATAGCAGCCACTACAACAGCTCCCAACACTCAGAGGGGATCTTTCCTGCTCTTTCACAGTCTCTTGACACGAAAGACGTGTCAGTCCATTTGCGCTGCTATAACAGAATACGTGGGGCTGGGTTATTTATGGGCGGGGCAGCTCCCCTGGAAGGACTCTTAGGAGACGAGAACCTGTGACTGTGACGTGCATCTTACAGAGTCCTAAGGGACGTCGTAAAATTCGCTTACTCCAGCAAACAGGGAGGAGCTCCCACGGCAAACTCCCTTTGCCTGGGAGCAGGTGCTGTCCTTGAGTCCTATGTCGCCTGTTTCTTCCTCCACCTTGGCCTACAGGCCCCATATGATCTGACCTCTGCCAGCCTCTCCAACTTCATCTCCTCTCCCACTCCTATTCTTTTTACCAATTAGGTTACAGCCTCAGTGAAAGTGATAGGGACCCTGAATCACAGCGGCTTAACTAAGATAGAGGTTCATTCCTGTTTCACATGAAAGTCAAAGCCAGTCGGGTGATTCTTCTCTGTGCGGTTTTCAGGGTCTTAGCCTCCTTCCATCTTGTTGCTCTGACTTCCTTAGTGTGTAGCTTCCCCCCACCTCAGGGTCCATCTTGTCTCCTGCCAGCCAGCAGGGAGGGGAGAAGGGGACAAGAGCGCACCAACTTTCCTTCCTCTAAAGGCAGCTGCTGTGCACAGGCCCACCTCCCCATTGGCCACAGCCTGGTCACATGTCCCTGCTTGTTGCGAGGGATTCTGGGAAGTGTAGTCTTCATCCTGGATGCCAGTGCCCACATGGGTCACTCCAGAGGCCCAGGGGAGAGAGGACCTGGGAGAGAGTTGCTGGCTCTGCTCACCCTTGTGCACATTTCTGCAGCATAGGATGACCCACTGCTTCAGCTTGCTCAGGATTGAAGGGGGTCATGGGACACAGACCTTTCAGTTTCAAAGCAGGGGCAGTTCCAGGCAAATCATCCCAGCTTGTCTGAGACTCAGAAGTTTCCCGGGACTGGGGATTTCTAGTGTTAAAACCAGGAAAGTTCTGGGCAAACCTGGACAAGCTGGTCCCCTCTACTCCAGACACACTGGCCTCTTTTCTGCTTCTCCAGCAGGCCAAGCCAGTGCCTGCCACAGGGCCTTTGCATCTGCTGTTACCCCTGCCTGGGATTCCCTTTCCACAGCTCTGTGCAGTGCTCACTCCTCTTCTGTTGAGAAAGGGCTGCTCTCTGGGTGCCCCCGGGTGTCTGGTCTCCTGTGCTCAGCACTACGTGCTCTGTGAAAATCCCTCCATGCTCTTAATAGAATGAGAGCTGTTCTTTCTACCCTTCCCTGCCCACTTCAGTTTCAAAGTCTCTGAGGATTATTAATTTTTATTCTCTTCACCTCTGAAAGATATATCTCTTTCCCTAAGGCTGTGGCTGGGCTCACGCATAGTCAGATAAATCTAATATTAATAATAACTTGAACGAAAAACATGTATTAAATCCCAAGATTATGATCTAGGAAGTGAGGATTCTGAAGAGATGTGTAAGCCTAATAAAGGCCAAAGGGTGTGGATTAAAAGGAAATGGGTGGAGAAACATTTCATGAACTAGAACCCCACCTCTTGGGTGAGTTCATTGGTACAATCTTTCTAGAGGGCAATTTGGCAATTGGCCAATGAAAGTGCATAACTTTTGGCCCCAAATTCCATTTATAGGCATTTATCCCTAGGAGAATAGTCAGAAAAATATGCAAAGATGAATCTCTAAGGATTTTTATAAGAAGAAAGAAGCAGGAAGCATAAACAACTGGTCGTGGCCCCCCACCCTGGCACCAGTGCTCTCCCAGTGGGTGGGCACAGGCTACATTTTCCCAGGCTCCCTTGCAGTGAGTTGTGGCCATGTGACCAGGTTCTGGCCAATGGGAGGTAATGAAAGTGTTGGGTGGCATTTTTGGAGACCCCCTTCTGTAACTTCTGTCTTGATATGGTTTGGATGTTGGTCACCTCCACATCTTGTGTTGAAATGTGAATTCTAATATTGGAGGTGGGGCCTGGTGGTTCTGGTGATGGGGGCAGAGTCCTCTCACAGTGGCTTGGTGCCCTCCCCATGGCAATGACTGTGTTCTTGCTCTGAGTTGATGGGAGATCTGGTTGTTTAAGGAGCCTGGCACATCCTCCTCCTTTTCTTGCTCTTTCTCTCACCCCGTGATGTGTCTGCTTCCCCTTCCCATTCTGCCATGATTGGAAGCTTCCTGAGGCCTCCCCAGAAGCAGATGCTGGGACCATGCTTGTATAGCCTGCAGAACTGTGAGCCAATTAAACCTCTTTTCAATAAATATCCCAGCCTCAGATATTCCTTTACAGCAAAGCAAATGGACTGACATATCTTTAGTGTCATTTCTTATTTGTTCCCTCCTTTGACCTGCTTCCTGGAATAAGCAGATGATGGTCGGAGCTATTCCTACCACCTTGAACCTTGAGCATTAGGCTTCTATCCTGGGGATGGCAGAATGTCTTCTGGAAGGAGATGAATGTCCCTAACACTACCCTAGACAGACAACGTCCAGTTTTGTTTTTACTTTTTGAGACAGTCTTGCTCTGTTGCCCAGGCTGGAGTACAATGGCATAATCTCAGCTCACTGTAACCTCTGCCTCCTGGGTTCAAGCCATTCTCATGCCTCAGCCTCCCGACTAGCTGGGATTCCAGGTGCGTGCCACCATGTTCAGCTAATATTTTTTATTTTTAGTAGAGACAGGGTTTTACCATGTTGACTATGCTGGTCTCAAACTCTTGACCTCAAGTGATTCACCTGCCTCAGCCTCCCAAAGTGCTGGGATTACAGGTGTAAGTCACCGTGCCTTGCCCCATAAAGCTTTATTCTATTTTAATAAAGCAAAATGCATAAGTGTGTGAGTGTGATAGTGTGTGTGTATTGTCTAATAGGAGCACTACAGATCAGAATGGGAATGCCGCTTATGTTTGGTGTTGGAATCACTTGTGATTTAAAAGCTTGTTTTCTGCTATTTTTAAAAACCTTTGAAATGAGTTGTAACTTTAATTATTAGAAAAAAAGATACTGTAATAACTGAGAGGGGGAAAACATCCACCTCTTGTTGGACCTGACTGAGGCTGGGAGAAATGTGAGACTTTTTTGCAGGTGTCACCTCCCTGCCAGAAAAGTGGCCTTGCAGGACCATCCTACGAGCCAGATGCGCCTCTCTCTTTCCCCCGTCCCTGTACCTGGTGTGAGGTCACACAGAGTGTCCTTCACAGAGTCTGACCTGCCAAGGTCGGGGCGGGGGGAAAGTGGGGATCTGGGGACATTCAGAACTCAGGCCCGAACAGGTGTGACTGTGCCTTTGCGGGGTGACCTCTCACCTCAAAGAGCAAGACAGAGCTCTAGTGCATTTCTAAATGTTTACATGAGAGGGTTTTTCACTTCTCACCCCTTTGTTCCAACTAGGACATTTGGAATCATAAAATGCGCAGAGAAGCCCTGCTCTTTACAGCCACCTTCCCCAAGCCAGCATTCTACTCAAAAACAGCAGATGAAGCTCACGGCTTTGATGAAAGGTCACTCTTTATTGAGAACAATTAATATTGCTTCCCATTCTGGGGAGAATTTAAAGAAAATAATTTGGAAGAACATTTGGTTTGGTGCGAAGCAAACACATGATTTCAGATCACAGATGTGATCACTTGATCTGGCTTAAAACTGGAGGTCCAGGGAGGAGCTGGTGCTGCTGTTGCAGTCTGAGGGTCGAGCAGCTGGAGACCCAGGGAGGAGCGGTGTTGCTCTAGTTTGAGGTTCCTGGAGCAGGAGACTAACAGAGGAGTGGTATTGTTTTAGTTTGAAGGTCTAGGAGCTGGAGACCCAAGGAGGAGCAGTGTTGTTCTAGTTTGGAGGTTGTCCAGCTTGAGATCTAGGGAGGAGCTGGTGCTGCTGTTGTTTAAGGCCGAGGGTCGTGGAGCTGATGATCCAGGAAGAAGCAAGTGTTTTTGTTGTTCAAGTCTGAGGGTTGTGGAGCTGGAGACCCAGGGAGGAACTGATTTTTATTCTAGTTTGAGGGTTTTGGAACTGGAGCCCCAGGGAGTAGCCAGTGCTGCCACTGATGTCTTAGAGTTGTGGAGCTGAAGATCCAGGAGGAGCTGGTGCTGATGTTCTAGTTTAAGGATTGTGCAGCTGCAGACCCGGACAGGAGCCGTTGCTACTGCTGTTCAAATCTGAGGGTCATAGAGCTGGAGCCTTGCAGAGAAGCCGGTGCTTCATCTCAAGTCTGAGAGTTGTTAAGCTGGAGATTTAGGGAGGTGCCGGTGCAGCTGTTGTAGTTTGAGGATCGTGGAGCTGGAGCCCGGGGAGGAGCAGGTGCTGCAGTTCAAGTTTGATGGTCGTGGAGCTGGAGACCGGGGAGGAGCAGGTGCTGCAGTTCAAGTTTGATGGTCGTGGAGCTGGAGACCGGGGAGGAGCCGGTGATATCGCATGTAAGTCTGAGGGTCATGGAGCAGCTGGCCCCGGGGAGGAGTCAGTGTTATAGCTGAAGTTTGAGGGTTGTGGAGCTGGAGACCCAGGGAGTAGCTGGTGCTGCTGTTCAAATTTGAGGGTCAGGGAGACCTGGGGAGGAGCCAGTGATGCCTGCCACGTCTGAGAGTCACTGAGCTGGAGATGCAGGGAGGAGCTGGTGCCGCTGTTGTAGTTTGAGGATTGTGAATCTGGAGACCCGGGGAGGAGCTGGTGCCGCTGTTGTAGTTTGAGGATTGTGAATCTGGAGACCCGGGGAGGAGCTGGTGCCGCTGTTGTAGTTTGAGGATTGTGAATCTGGAGATCCAGGGAGGAGCTGGTGCTGCTGTTGTAGTTTGAGGGTCATGGAGGTGAAGATCCAGGGAGGAGCCGGTGCTGCTGTTTAAGTCTGAGGATCGTGGAGCTAAACATGGAGCCAAAGCTGGGGAAGTAGAGTCACAGGAGGCCTCTTGAAACTGTTGAGTAGCTGTACCCCAAGCAAGTTAAGCTTGGGAAAGTCTCAGTTCTAGTGATTAATGCATTCTTTTTCCCCTTACACAGTTTGGATTTGTTTTCTTTCTCACCAGATAGAGAGACTCTCATTAATACTCTTAGGAATTGAAAAGCTTAAGAAAAACTCAATGATGTTGGCAATAACAATACGAATTAAACCATGATTTTCCTGACTGACACAGACAAAATCACACACACGCAATATATATCTTTTCAGTCAGTAAAATAAAAAATAAATGGAAAAATAGGCCTAAGCAAAGCCATAAACAGTCATTTCGTGGAGAAGCGATGGAGGACAGAGATTAATCTGAGAGTTGTATTGATGGAGAAACTGAGAACTTACCATTTCCCGTGAGGTTTCAGTGTGGAATGATACTCTGTGCGTTCTGGCAGCTGAGTCTGTTCGCACAGCCTGGTGATGCAGTAGGTGTTACAGAAGGGCCTCTCCCAGCTGGTCCTGCCTCTCTGCTGTGATGAGTGCTGCCTCTGATCCCCGACCACTGACTGTCTTGAGAGGAGACCAGGCCTATGAGCACAAGGGTGTCCATGGTGAGGTTCCATGGATGGAGCACAGGGACGCTCCTGATGTGCCTTTCTATGCTCATCCACCATCTTGCTATTAATGCATCTTGTTTATAACTGTCTTCTAAAGACTGGATAGAAAAAAGC